TATTCAACTCTTCTGAATTGAAATCAAATATTATTCTTCTGTTATCACTTACTATATTTTAGAGGAAACATAGGCATAAAATATGTTTAGAATTCTTCTCTTTTTTAAATATATTATTAACGTCTTGTGCTATGTTTCCTTTCTGAACTGTGATCGATCTAACTACTTTGGTAGTAATAATTTATTGAAAATACGAGAAAATCCCAGTTTCATTCTATGTCAGCGTGTGCTCTAACACACGGAATAATATGTAACTTCCATTCAAACAAATTTAATAATATTTATGTCTATCAAATTCTATTTGACTTCACTATAAGTACATTAACTGTCAGATTTTATACTTCAACTACATCAAATCAAGTGGTGATTAAGAGTTATCTCCCCAGTGCAAAGGGTTATATTAGATTTAATATAATTTTATAATTAGACTATAATTAATTTATAGATTAAATGTAACTAGCTAACACTAGATTAACGAACATTTACTGTACAGTTTATTCTATCATTTCTAGAGAAACTGATATCCGTTCGTTTAGATTTTATAAATTAGAGGTTCAAAAGCGGACAATTAGGATACACATTTGCATACCTGCATTAATCAAAATCGACCCAAACATTTACCAAATAACATTTATAAAAATTAATATCAGTCAAATTGACTGGTTCTGTGGATCTAGTGTTGACCGTAAGATTAATCTAGAAATAATAACTAGATGCGTTGGCGTACGACATAGCTGAAACAGCTTGACCCGGATTCTTCGAGCGATAAAAGACTCGCTAACGGAACGTTCACACGCTCGACAGATTGCAAACGAAACGACCAAAGTTGACTTCTTAGCGTGGAAATCCGAAGCTTTTAAATGTTCCTTTTGCCGCGCGGGATAAACTTTTATGTTTCTTGCTCGTGATTCTGCGCGGGTAAACTGAATAATTAGAAGACGCAGCAGCGTGTTGAGAGTAAGGACCAAGAGGAACGAGATGCAAGGATAATCTGGCTATTTTTTCGTAAATTTGACTTGTAAATGAGAAACTGGAGAATTCTTTCTTCCCGCGGGATGAGATTATAAGCGTAAATTTCGTTACTAAAATTTGCATGTTCGTATTAGTATTGTTGGACGAGGGTCATTGTCTTCAACTTTATGGATCTTTTTTCAACTGCGCCACACTTCTCGGTTTACCTGAATATGTGAAATAATACTAATCGCTTGCTCTATGAATGACTTTCCTAGATTTAACCAAAACTACAATTCTTTTTATTCCCGCTTTTTAGTGTTCGATGAAGTATTTTCTTAAATAAACGTTACTTAATTATTATAACTGGATAAATATTTTGAAACAGGCTTTCGGGATAGATGGTTCTGAAAGACACAAAAACGATCGTTGAACAGACTTGTTCTCCGGAGTGTTCGAATAAATGAGGTTCTACTGTAAATAGATAAAATAATCTTATTTAATAACAGGTGCGATTGTAACAAGTATTTAACACTAGGTTTACAGATATTTAGTGTGCAGTTTATCTTAGTGCTCCCAGAAAAGCGGTTGCTTATCCATTTTATTCTCTCTAGTGTTAAGATCCTTGGCTTCCCTGTAAGCTTTTCTTCTGAACTCAAGGAAAGGTCCCGTGTCAAAGTTCCTTTTAGCATCACCGGAAGCAAGACGTTCCCTTGTAGTCGACCGTTCATTAACGTTCCCCCGTTTTGTTCCGCGTCATCGTTTTTAATAGCCCTTATGTATCGCCGGGGAAGCTTTCTTTGTCCACGCCGACGAACAACGCTCTAAATTCCGTTGTCATTGAAAACAGCGATTCAATTAAACGTCCCGCGTGCGTTGCGGTTAATAAAGTTTATTTTACAAACAACGGACCAATTGTATGGCCATTCGATCTACGTTTTTTTTCTGCTATGCGGATTCTAATTGGGACGGAAGGGAAAATTCTCGCAGATTGAATCGTTGGGACAAGTAACTCATTTTTTCGAGCGTTCACCGCAAAATTACTGGCCAAATTTGGTAGGGTCAGGCTTTTATTTTTGTCGCGCGATGAAAATAGAAAAACTATCGATTTTTCTATGCTTCCCGGTTACGCGACGCGAATACCGTTTATTTATTAGAAGAAAGATATATTTTCAGCTATCATTTCTTCGCTGTCAATTCATTTAAAATAATTTCGAATACTTTGATTGAAATATATAAGTTTCAAATACTTCAATTGAAATATTTAAGTTACAAATAGTGTAACTGTAATATTCAAGTTTCAAATGCTTTAATTGAAATATTTTCATTTCAATTGCGTTAATTGGAATATTTTCATTTCAAACGCTGTAACTGAAATATTTAAGTTTCAAATAGTTGAGTTCAAATATTTTTATTTCCAATACTTCAATTTAACTATTTACATTTAAGATTGTTCAACAGTTTGACATAAAACAAATTTGAAAACATTTCAAAACATTTGTACTTAATACCGACGATTAAACGAAGGATTTGGATGTTTCAAGTTTATATGTTTCGTGAAATTTCATGCTGTATGAACTCAATGCTCGAAACACAAGCAATTGTCTTTTTTTAATATTCTTTTTTTTTCTGCTGTAATATGTTTCATATCGATTTATCGAACCGCAGCATCGCCGGTCACGCGATACAAAGTCAGAATCCGGATGGAAAACAAAATGTATGTATGTGGCCCTGTTAAAAGCTACGTTTGACTTCGCACGCTTAATTGCAACTCAAACGCAAAACCGAGAGGTAATCCAAATTAATTGCGAACCATTGATCGTCCTCGTAATTTCTGTCAACAGCTGTTTAACTTTGTTGATTCCGGAAACAATGCGACGTTGTTATTTACCGCGATCTTGTGTGTATCACTTTCAATTAGCAGTAAGTACTGCGTGTTATCGAAATACAGACCGACTGCGAATGCATAGGTATGCACATCCGTAGGTATATAATAAATAATCATTAATTTACTTGTTAATTAAATTGCAGGACCGCCCTAAGCTATTGTTACGTTCTAGCTTTGAATATCATCGAGACTGTAATTTCTTAGTTTCGATGAAAATGAATAGTCAAGAGATCGTGATCTTTCTACTTCCGATGCAAATGAAATTTCTAGCATTCTTATCTGTTATTAACAGTTAACAATGGAGAATGGATTTACAAGTTTTATTCACATAATAAATATTCCCAGTTACCTTCAGGAAAATTATAGAGTAAAATTTTCCAATGAACAGTATTGGATACGACTGTGTAAAACAAATATACGTTAAAATGGGATACCCTGTATACTTGATTATGTCTGTCTGTTCTCTTTTATCGATTATTTCACGGAGAAGCTCGAAAGCTTCGTTTCACTTGCGCCATAATATTTTCAGTTACTGAAAAATACATCCGTTGTGCTCATTCCGATGGAAAGCAAAACAGGGGTTAAGGGGTGAGGTCTCAGGGAAATTTCAGTGGTTCTCTTGTATCTTATTTCATTTATCTTTTGATGCGTTTATTTTAGCATTAACCCGAGAGGTAATACTCGAGAGACAGCATGCTGGCGGGAAATTTATAAACCAACGAGGAATATTTTTTATAAAAAAAATTTGCCTTCCTCAATTAATTCAAACGTAATAACAGGCACGTATACCATAACCATTATTATATTCTCCGTACAATCACGTGATACACGCATTATCTTCCCTCGTGTCCACTGGCGGTAGGGAGATTTCGGTATGACCTTTCATCGAAGTTTCCATCAAAGAAGCCGGAGAAACAAAATTACCGGGCGAAAGACGGGCAACATCGCCCGTTGAAGACGACGAATGCATTCGAGTACATTATTAACGTTCGGCCGTGGAACAGCGGTCTCTGTCGACTTAGTCGACGACAGACCGCCATGCTGCTCGGCTTTCAGGGTAATTAAATGGCCAATGGGATGGGTGACGGGGAGACACAGCCTACAAAGAGGAATAGAGACAGGGAGAGAGAGGCT